TAATATAAAGAGATATATAGCTCCAACAAAAGGCTTAACTGTTATATACCTTAGGCCATGGGTCGGCAACAGGCGGCCCGCGGGCCATTGTTGTCCCGCCAGCAATAATATTTGGCCCGTAATTTTGAGAATCAAAAATAAAATATTATTTTGATTTTTTTTTTTTTTGATTTTTTTTTTTACAACATAGGACCAACACATCAGGGTTTCCGTTAGCCGCCGGTCATTATCGGCCGCCGGTCATTATCGGCCGATATTCACTCTTAATAGCTTGATCGGTGCTCTCTATAAAGGCCGATCAGGAGAGCTGGATCTGATCGATATGGACATAAACGCGAGTGAAGTGTAACCGGACCCGAGAGAGAGATCAGATCAGCTGCTGAGTCTGATGGAGACACGCAGCTCTGCATGATCACCTGAAGCCCCGCCCACTGTTTAGCGAGCTGCAGGAGCTGCATGAGAAACTGACGGGCTGTCAGGAGAGAGAGGGAGGGAGAGGGGAAAAGAGAGCATCCGTTTCTCCCGTGTTAGTATTCAAAGTTAATGTAAACTTTTGAATAATGTACTTCATCTACTACAAGTAGTTTGTTTGAATGTAATAATTATGTTTGTTGAATCATTTATAGAAAAATGAATCTGAACTTTTCGATCTGTAACGATTATAAACTGAAGCAATATAAAAACGAGCCCCATTAACTGAGTTTTAAACATCAGCATATCCGGTCCTAGTCCGGTGATTACCTGCTAACGGAAACTTTGCTACACCATTCTTATTATTATTATTATTATTGAAACATGACCGGTAAGTTTCAAATTTGTCCGGTAAAATAAATTCTGTCCCGACATATCCGCTTACATTCATAATGTCAGCGGAGGGAGGGGAAGCGGCGCTGTGGAAGAGCAGAGTGGAGGGAGAGCTGTCATCTTCCCTTTACAAGCTTCAAACATGTATTTATCGTGTGATTTTGGAGGAAAAAAAAATCATATTCTGAAAGCCAAGACTTTGTTTATTTAAAATCAAACAAAACACCCGATCCCCGAAAAACAATTTTTTTACGCAAATCCACGTTTATTTTGAAATGAGCCGTTGCGACTTTCGACTGATTTCGATAGAGCGGGTCACATATGGCAAATGTGTGGTTGTGGGGAACCAGGTCAATTCAAGTACTTATTTAACTATTAAATACATTGAGTTTGAGTAAAATACTTGGTTACTGATTAATTTAGGTTATAATATATGAAATTGCAAAGCAAAACTGCTGTAATTGATTTATTTTGTCCTTTGGTATTTTTTTAAAGGTTTTCAACCTGAAAGAATCCTAATGTGTCCTTGAAAAGTTGAAATAAAGAAAAGGAAAAAGGATTCCAGTTGTCCCTCAAGCCTCTCAAATGTGGGCAAACACTCAAATAAATGCCAAAACCCCAGAGAACTTGACAATACTTATAAAAGTATGTTAAATAACACTGCTATCTAGTTAATAACTCTACTTTACTCAGTGGAGGCTCGTCCATTGAGGAAAGGGAGGACCATCCTCCCTACAATTTCAGAGAAAAATAAACTTTGAAGAGAACAATAAATACACCTCAATTTAAAAGATAAGTCTGTTAAAATACAGATAATAGCCTTGGCTTTGGGGCTGAAATGGGGCTAGAGAGGACGAGCCTCCCTTTGGGCGGCTCTAGCCAGAGGTTCTGGATTGGGCGCTTATATCACCAGTGAACCAATCAGCGGATCTGACTGCGCATCAGAGTGTTGATGGGGAGGGTCATCAGCGATATCAGAGTTTTTTCTGAACCGGGGAACAGGGGCGCTGCGCCCTCTTACCAAAATCAATTCCTTGAATTAGGCTTTGATTATGTTCTGGCCCGCCATCTTGCGGCTCAGAAAATTTTTGGCCCACGGCCAAACTTACTTGCCTTAGGCCCTTTCTGTACTTCTTCTGACCTTGGCATCCGCTCACTTAAAATGAATACATCTACTGATAATTAGCAAAGAGACCATTTTCTCTCTAACTCTGGAAACTGAAATGCAATAACACACATGATATAGCTTACCATGTAATCACATGGTAAGCTATATCATGTGTAACATGGGTGTTACATAGGTTCAATACAAATGTTGACATTAAATGGACGAGATACAAAGTGTAAGACGGAAGAAAGTCACCTAAAAAAAAAAAAAATAACATTGTCTTTTTAGCCTAAATACATTAATACATATAACGTTAATACATTTTCCAAAGTACTTTCATGCGCTTGCCTATTTGAGGGTTAAGAGAGAATCTGTGTCAGAACATGTTTGGTATGCACACCGTAGAAACCTATCACCTGAGCAAAGCCATAACTTTAATGTTTTTATTTATTCCAGATGAAATTTAACACAATTGTTTCACCTTAAAAAGGTGTTTTTAACAGATGTAATTTTTTAACATGTGTTTATAAAATACATGAAAAAGTGGTGTTTGCATAATAGGTCTCCCTTAACTACTTGTGTGCAGACCCGGGGGGCCTCATGGCACAATTTCGCTTAGGGCCCCAAGTTGGCCAGGGGCAGCTCTGATAACACACAATATATTATTTTTTTATATAATATTTCATCATACCAGGACTACTTTCTTTAAGTATTTCGACATACTATTCTATGACTTTAAAAAAGGTTTTGACATAGCCTACCGTGACATCTGACATCATTAAACCTGTGTGAGCATTATTGTTTTGAATCTATTGCCTACAACAAGACAAGCATTCATTTTCTTGTTGGGAATATAACTCTATACATCACCTCCACCAATCCTCTTGGAATCCGAGGCGTCGCCATGTACAACACAAAAAGTAAATAGAGCCCCACGATGCACTCGGTCACGCTGCTCTCCGGTAGTCCCAGCACCCGGGTCCCGGTGTTCAGCAGAGCCGGCAGCCCGAAGCCCAGCAGCACCGTCAGGAGCACGGAGAACGAGACCAGGAGAGCCGCTCTGAGCACAGGGAGAGGAGCCATCGTTCCACAGTCTATGGGTTTAATTAATGCTTTCTGAGGAAGAAGTGCAGTCCATGTATGCAGACAGGCCACGCCCCCTGTGTGACGTCACCCGGTGGTGCGTTTACGTTCCCGGAAAATGTGTTTGGAAAAAAAGTTTAAAAGCATGCAAGAAAATGCCTAACGCTACACAAAAAGGAAACTTGCTTAAGATAGGGTAAGCTGTGTGCAAGAAAGACGATTAGGGAAATGCTTTATATTGCTAAATAAGCCGTGTGATGTAATAGTATACATTCCAGACTTGCAAGCACAAGTCTCACTGATGGGATTTGGAGCCAAACAGGAAGTGCGCAGCATGGAAACATCTCTCAGAAACTATCTGAGTCATAATACTGTGCAATAATGTGTCTGATCTGACTACAAATAATGTGATTTAATAAATCAGTTCCATACTCCCTGTTATGTTAAGTACGTGTGTCTGTGTATTCATCATTTAAAAACACATCTACAAATGATTTTATGCATTAATTATGTTCCCTCCTGTACGCTGCAGAATAGCAGCCTTTTGGCTTCCTTTGCTAAATAAAATCATACATATTTATAACCTGAACTCTGACAGAAGAAGCTATACTGGGTTTGTTTTGAAAATATATGCAATTCGGTTAAAATTTGCATAAAGACGTGGAAACAGCTGTTTCCGGAATGTCGTGAACTACAGCTGGCAGTTGTGTATGCGTTTCTATAGCAACGTTAAATGACTCTGCATCGCCCCCTATCGAGATGATCTTGCACTGCAGCTAATACAAGCATCTTTATGCTTACCAATGATCAAAATGTGATTAAAAGTGGGCACAAACACCGTTTAATCTTTCCTCTGAATCAGCCTCTGCCTGCAGCTCATTGAATAGTTTCTGTATCCTGGAGAACACATTGCCCAAATAAAGTATAAAACAGGTATAATCTCACAGATATACTTGTGTTTTGAGGCCTATACTCTACAGATAAAAAGGTGTAATGGCAGTGCAATACATGGGTGTAACAGAGTTAACATGGGTGTACTGTGGATGCAATATATGTGTAAATATGTGAGCAACAGGCACGTAATGTCAATATGGTAGTACAATGTGTGTACCATTGGTGTAACATAGGTGTTTCATAGGTTCAATACAAAAGTTGACACTAAATGGTGAGATACAGCGTGTAAGATTGAAAAAAGTCACATAAGAAAAAGAAAAAAGCTTTAAAACTTGTGGTTTTAGTCTAAATACATGTATAAAAGATAATATATTTTCCAAAGTATTTTCAGTTGCTTGCCTATTTGAGCGTTAAGAGAGAATCTGTGTCAGAACATGTTTGGTATGCACACCGTAGGGGTTTAGTATGTGTCTAAAACAGTGTTTCTCAAACTTTTTTCAGTCATGTACCCCCTTTGAAACATTTTCTCAGCCGAGTACCCCCTGACCTACCCCGAACATTTTTGATCGAAAAAGCCTATACAAATAATTCCAATATAGTGTTGTTCCCTCAGTGTGTGATGTATTAACTCCTTCATGCATGCATTACAACAAACTAAGGATATTTTCATTTTATGCATGAAAAAAAATAACATGAAAACAAATGTAAACTGATTTTTCCAAGGAGTTTTTCAACTGAAGTAATATCTGTTTAACAAACCAATGAACACAATTATATATTATGCAAAACTATAAAATACACACATTTGACATGTTTATATGAGGACCCCCTTGGTGGTTCTAGGAATATTTTATATACAATTGTGTTTTCTATTTAACTTATTGTACCAAGATTATTTTTGTAATCATGCATGGTATTTTTTTTATTAACTTTTATTTATTTTTTACATTTCACATACCCCCTGCAGTACCCCAACGTACCCCTAGGGGTCCGCGTACCCCCATTTGAGAATCACTGGTCTAAAAGCCCATTCCCTAACAAATGATCGTCTGCTGTGGTTCCAGTTCCCCCAAAACCTCCAGGAGTAAAACACATCACCTGAGCAAAGCCATAACTTGTAATGTTTTTATTTATTCCAGATGAGATTTTAATTGGTACAACCAACACCCTGGTCAAGTAAAACACAGGAAAGTTAAAAAAACATTATGTCCTACAGAAAAGCTGAAAGTCAAGAAAAGATGAGATGACGGCATTAGAGAGCAAAACACAAGGCACTGAGGATCAGTAGAAATAACATTGTCTTTTTAGCCTAAATACATTAATACATGTATAACGATACATTTTCCAAAGTACTTTCATGCGCTTGCCTATTTGAGGGTTAAGAGAGAATCTGTGTCAGAACATGTTTGGTATGCACACCGTAGAAACCTATCACCTGAGCAAAGCCATAACTTTAATGTTTTTATTTATTCCAGATGAGATTTAATACAATTGTTTCATCTTAAAGGTGTTTTTAACAGATGTAATTAGACAGTAGTCTACGGTTAAACCACCGTCCTGTGGCCTTCAGACGTGCTGTAAACATATCTTTGTGTTTCCATGCCTCCATGGTAAAACAAATGGGAGAGAAGGAGAAATTAATGCTCTGGAGATTAATAGGAGTCTGCGTGGTGTAAAAAAAGAACGAAAATCATTACGAATAAGTGACTGCTGAGATACAAAACGCCGAGTTCAACTAGTGTTAACATGTCCTACAATAGCATGACAACAGACTTTGCTAAATGTACATTGCAAGTACCTTCAAATGGATGTTTAGCTGTAGATCCTTCCTGCCTCTCTTCAGTGTAACAGCACAGATACATGTCGCAGGGAAATGGACAGTAAATCATATTTCACCCCCCCCCCCCCCAGTTGTAGTAATGCTGGTGGAGCGAGAGACTCATTCAGGTCGACAAACAGCTATGCGTAACAGATGAGGTCTTTTACAGTATTTTTTTGTTTTTTTTAATGACCTGTGCTGACAGTAAACTGCAAGTGCTCTATTCTTTATTTGAGAAAAGAATCAAGCTTTTTCTTGATATTGTCAAATGAGTCCATTCCCAAGTAGTCCGCCTGGCCTTGCTCCCATTTCTGCTTCCGCTCTTCTGAGGACAGTCCCGGTGGGATTGCTTGATCAACTACGGGGCGACTCGCATCCTGAGAAAGAAACAGACAATAGTGAAACCAAGAGCATGAAATGTCATGCACAGAACACCACCTTTGCAGCTTTTGAAACGCACTGAAGCGCTTCGACATTAAAGCCAAAGCCAAACACACGAGGCTGGGATTCTAGAGGAGGAACGGTAATGGCATTACAACCAGGAGCCAAAGCTGTTATCGGCTGCTAGTCCATAAGAAGAAACCCATCAGTAGCACCATACCTGCACACTCTCAATAGTGATCATGTCACAGGGCTGGGACTATGAGATGAAGACGTATACCATCCAGAACAAAATACAAAAGTTAACATCAAACGGGGGGAAATGACACAAAACTCATAACAAATATAGTATCACTTTTTCCTTTATGCAAGCAACACATGTTTCCAATAGAGCTGGACAAACAGGAAACCGTGGTAGAAGGGCTGAACTGTTAGATTTGGATACGCAACACTTTGGAAATCCCCAATCCCTTTGTTTTCTGGTTCTTATTAGCGTGTACTTGGTCACGCATTGAACAACACATAACAGATCTATTCATTTTCCTGCAAGCTAGCCATACGGAGACTCACACTTTACCTCAGCAGACTAAGTATACATCTTTCCCTAAATTGTAAAAACCTTAAACAATGCGTCACAATTAATAACATTGAAACCAAGTGGAAAGCTGTTACAGAAAATAATCTAAAGCTGATAAGAATCAGTTTCAGATCAAGATCATTACAATGTTGACAATATCTGGTTTGCTTACTGCACATATTTGATATGTCATTGCATTCTATTTCAATGTAAATTACTGCTTCATTTTACTCATTTTTTGTAATGTTATTATAGTGTTCTTATTATAGTTCCCCATCTGTGTTTTTTTTATTTGTTTAACTTTTATGTATGCACCACGACACCAAGTCAAATTCCTCGTACGTGTCGACCGACCTGGTGATCAACCTGATTCTGATTCCACTACAAAACTCGAACTCTTGCCAAGTATCTGTGTCTAGTATCAGAATGTGTCTCTACTCCTGATATAAGACACACTGACTTCAGAAGTAGCACTGCAGAGAGACATCAAGTCTTGTTTTTAGACAATGTAGAAACATCTTATTTTGAGTCGTTTCTCAGATGAAACGCATATTTATTAGGAAATCCCCAACGAACATCAGACCCAGAACACCTGAGTATTTGTGGCTTATTTTTGTTACGACATTTCCTGATTCTGGTCAAATAGTTCAAAATGAGTTCTCCCAGCTAATCACAAGATGTGATTTATCTAAATACCCCTTCTTATTTCAAGACATCTTACCAAGCACATGTTCACTTGTTCTACTGGCAGATTTTTGGACTCATTTCAAGTGAAAACTTCTTCATTTCAATATTGTTTAACTTGTTTTTGGAGCAGTATGTTTTCCAGTGTAAGTGAAGGCAACTTCTCATCACATCACCCATCATCAACACAGCATTAAAACGTATATTTTCCTTCACCTCCACACATCCGGAGTAGAAGGGCTGGTCTCCGTGCTGCTCCTTCAGCATGGGCACCACGGTGCGGGAGTACAGGCTCCACCAGTCCAGCAGGAAGGTGGGGTGTGTGGTGGCGTCGTGCGCACTGCCTGTGATCTGTCTGGATGTGGTGTCGTACGTGTAGCTCCACGGCTTGGTCTTCCCCAGGAAATGCACCACCTTGGCATTGCCACCATATCTGAAATGAGATGTTTCTTTATTGTGGATTACGTTTGGATGATAGCTATACAAGTAATTCTGATTCAGAAAACATTATCCAGTCACTTCAAATAAAACAGCCCCACACTTAAAACAAGACTAACTTTTCGAACCGCCTTTGACTTCAATTAGCGGTTTCTCAAACTTACATACCCTACCTTTAACCAACAAAGGCTTAACTGATTTATAACCTGAGGCCCTTTCTGTACTTCTTCTGACCTTGGCATTCTCTAACTTAAAATGAATACATCTACTGATAATTAGCAAAGAGACCATTTTCTCTCTAACTCTGGAAACTGAAATTCAACAACACACGATAAACTCTTTTTTAAACTACACATTGTACGATGTCTAAGGAGGCAGGTTGACCAATCACAACAGAGCCAGCCAGCTAACCAATCAGAGCAGACTGGGCTCTGGTTTCAGACAGAGGGTGAGAAAAATAAAGAGCTTTTTGAACATTAAAGCATGGAGACATGTCCCAGGAGAGACACTAAGAGCATAATAGCGACCCTTTAAGGTTGTATTTTTGTATTGGTATTATCCTGCTTGTTATTATAAACCCCGCAACACTTACAGATACACATTTCTTCATAGATTGGCAAACTGCACATGCACAGGAATACATCAGAATCAGGCCCTGGGAGGGTTGTTTTGTTGCGTTTGCCAGACCTTTAACTACCATCGTTGACAACAAACAAGCACACGCTCACCAGCCCTTCATTTGGATGCCAGGACATGTCAAACTCAGAGCTTGTTGGTGAGGTTTGTTGCTAAGGAGGGTTTAGAGGCACAATGTGCACAATCCTGAAGGAGGGGGACATAAAAAGGGTCTCCAAATACACCGCTCTATTTTAGGATTTAGTTTCAGCTGTTGGAGCTCAGAGGGGATATCAGACCCAGCGCCCTGCTGGGCGACGCTGCTCATCTCGCTGATGACGTCATGATGTGACGTCATGTGATCCAGTGTCTACTTACCGATTGGCTTTGCATCCATTAAGCATGATTTCAGCCACAGACGGACTCTGCCGTCTCACTGGAGCAGCTCTTACTACAAACACAGCCTCTGCAGACACACACTCACTGCTTGAATGCTGGAAGGTAGGTGTAGATGGCGATGCTGCTCAGGTTGTAGATGAAGGGGAGGTGTTTGGATATGTCAGCTGTTGACCAGTCGTTGAAGAAGCTGTTCAAAACCCCCTGGTCTCCTCCTGAGAGAGAGAGAGAGAGAGAGAGAGAGAGAGGGGAACATCAACACACAGTATGCAGAGAGTACTTAACACTTCCCTGGCTAATCCCCACAGGGGTGACGAGTTATTCCTCTCATAGACAAAGATTGATGCCTACCATTTTCTCACTGACTGATACTATGCTTGTTGCAAAGACAAACTCTGCTTTGTAACACCAGAAGCCTTTCAACAGGCTGTGGTGTCATAGCCTGTAAATATATGGCTAATGTAGTTTAATTGCTCCATCATAGTTGTGTCAAGTAATGCAGTTAAATGTTCAAACTGTACAGTGACATAAAATGGATTTGCACAACTAATGTAAAAACCTCTAAAATACAAGTACATCAGCTTTTTCGTTAGTGTAGTTTTAGTCTCTCTGCACAGCAGCAGCTAAATGAATCACCATAAAGGGGACCTATCATGCAAAATGCACCTTTGTACATCTTTTATACTTGAATATGTGTCCCCGGTGTTCCAGGGAACTCACCAAGTGCCAGAAAACACAACCCTCTCTTTTCCTCCATACCCACATCTCTAAAAACGGGGCTTTAATGGATCTGATAAATAGTGTGACGTCAGTGACGAGGAGCTCCGCCTATATGGCCAACTCTCCACCAATCAGGGGAATGAGAGGTTGCCGTGGCATGGTAACAGCATGGTAACATGACGCTCACTCGCCCCCTCGTTTGCAGGGGGGCGTGGTCAGCTGCAGCGCATGCAAAGACAGGGTGGAGGAGAGCAAAATGAGGCATGGCTAAAAGGCATGATCTGTTTGGTATTTTGAAAAAGAACTTATAAATACACCGTATATTCGTATGGCCCAACAATATATTATTCAAATATAGCATGGTAGGTCTCCTTTAACTTGCTAACTTTCTGTCACTGCACACATTGCTGGACAGGTAGCATACAGTCCGTTTATCAGAGCTTTTTCACAGAAAACATCCGCTAACAGTCAAAAGCTAGTGAAACCAACAGGAGTAATCCGTTCAATCTGCAGTTTCAAATGAGTTTCAAATATGTAGAGCACATTAAAGCATTATGTGCTATTTGAGACGCAGATATTGGGCTGCATGCGACGCTTGTTCCTATGCACAAACTCAGTGAGCAGTTTCAGGAAGGTTTCACATCCCAAATACTGCAAGTCTTTATCCGTAGTGTGAACATGTTGGGAAAAGTCTACGATGGTGGCAACAGGTCTCTTTAGAAATGCATCTCAAGTGTCTGACAGGTTTTAGCACATGACTGGATGGCTCCTTTGAAAAGCTGTGAGAGACTTTAGTGAAATTATCTGTGCTCCTTCGACGGCCAGATTCATTAGAGCTTCCGCCGACGCCGCGCCATTAGTCAGCAGATTTCTAAAACCAGTCCAGACATGCTGGGAGAGAAATGCTCCCACACATTCAGAACATATAGGTCTACTACTGCTGGGGTCATTTAAAAAGTATCTGACTTAGTAGTAGAGTAAGAACTGAATACGTTTCCCTTCACAACCCTATCATATGACGCCTTCCAGTACAGTGTAGGTACATTGATCGTAGTGTCTGTACAGAGCGTTAAGGGCAGGATGTGCTGAACACGCCTGACACATGTGAGTTAGTGTTGACACTCCTCTGGAGGAAAAATACCACGGATCATCGTGTTGGTGGAGTGCCTGTATATAACGCATGTATATAGAAAGCGTAGGTTCTCTGGCTGATCCACCACAGGGGTGAGGGGTTATCTTATATTTGACAAAGATTGATGCCTGCTATGTGCTCAAAGTCAAAGTCTGCAAAGAGACACCAAAAACCTTTACAGTTGTAGTGTCACATCCTCTATTGTGCACATACATCCTAAAGGTGGGCTAGGTAATTCACCTCAGAAACACTTTTGTTATATTCCATGGAATGCTCTTAACATCCCGATAGCAAGGAATACATTAAATGCTTTGACAATAAATACAAAATATCTCATCTGTGGAAGCCGTGGCGCTGTAAAAAGCACGACCAATCAACTGAGCCGGCCCGGCTAAAGTAACTGGATGGCCTACCTGCCTGTCAGCCTTCCATCTGTGCACAAACTTACCTAGTGCCCTCATTGGTCATGTGCGCGTTCGTGTGTTGGAGGAGGGGCTCTGTGAGGAAGTCTGAAGGAAGGGGCAGATTTCTTTCGGCTGCGTACTTCTAGCGCACTCGAGCTGGTTTCTCCACTCTTACCTACCCTACCTTTATAGCAACACAGCTCAAATGTGTTGCTCAACATGCAGTACAGTAAGAGAACTGTGGATTTGCACATTAAATGTATCACCAACATACATACTACATGGTCTAGTAGTCAAAACCTCTATGAAGAGCTGTAGCAGAGGACGCACTAGGGCTGGAAAGTATGTGATCCTGGTACAGCATGTCTCCTAGATAAAAGAAATAATGAAGACAATTCTGCCCTCTGCTGTTGGAAGTCAATACTCACAATGTGTGGAATTAATGTTATTATTCTCCTCCATTACTAAGCAGTGAAACCCCTGTTCTGGGGCGGTGGACCCTGAAGGTTGGGACTTGTATATTGCCAGTTGTAATGAAGTTTAAGCGAGTTAAATCCAGATTGAATAGAGTTTCAAATCTGGAACCGACTAAGAAACAGACTCATTCATTGGTCCTAAAGTCCTTGGATTGATACTGGCACACGACGAGACGCTGTCCTTTGATAAAACATGTAGTTCCTAAAAAGCACAGAACTGCAGTTTGCGAAACCGCACGCTGCAGCAGTTTTAAATAACACTCATAGATGGTGTTTCTCTGAACCCACAACCTCTGCGGGGAGATTTCAGACTTTAAACGAGGCTTCGTTTTGAGGGGATGAGCAGGGCTCTGAAAGAATGTGCATGTGACCGAGCCAGCTTGTGTTGGCAGCGGCGAACTCCAGAGCCTCCGGGTTCAACCTCTGAAATTATTTTCCTGTTGTCTTTCCTCAACTATTTTTCAATATCATCGAGAGAGCTGCCCGTGTCTTCCTTATGGCAGAGTGGAAATGAAATGCTAAAGGTCAGAGCGACTTCAACTCATGGCCCAGTGCACATGAAAGACCGTCACGGCTATAAATAAGACAGCTCGCATGCCACAGGCGCAGACGCTTACATCCTACAGACATTCTGGATGCTAAAACTGAAATTAAACCACAATTACCGCCTCACGGATGGTTACTGGATCCAGTTAAGTTGACATCCTTATCTGTACCCTAGACTCATAATAGGAAATGGAGATTAAAGGAAGAGGTATTAAGTGTGTATTTTGGGGAAATGGAAGTCATTATCTGGACATGTTTGGTACAGAGAGTTGGAAAACAGAATGCCAAAGAGTTCCAATAGTTATAATGACACTGGTTTGAGTGTTTGATGCTTCTCTATCCTGAAAAAAAAAATGATGCAACAATGTCTTTTGTCTGCGATTGTGTGTATTATAAGTTACATCCTTATCGGTCTGGATTCAAAATATAGGAAATGGAGATATAAATGAATTTAAATATAAAAAAAGAGTGTGTATTTTGTAATTGCCAAAGAACTACAAACAATGTCTTTTGTCTGGGGTTGTGTTTGAAAAAAAACAACGCTTATGTTAGCCAGGATAATTCGGCACTTGAAAGCGTTGGCAACGATTGCGCAAACTAATTGGTTCTCCGATGGACTCTCGCTGACGGCTTGCTTTTAAAAGTGTCAGTAAACAAAACAGCTTGTCATTTAATGTTAAAAAAGCTTCACAGCCTCCAACAAGGACGAGCCCGCTTTGAGTCTCATCCTGTTCCATTCATTTCCTTTGTTTCAGCGCCCTGAGCAAACAATGACTTTGGTCCGAGTCCAGACGTCCACATCTCACGCTCTCTAACGCTGAATGGAGTTATCCGTTGTTCTCGTCCAATCAGCATCAAGTACGACGGTTTGGTAACAAAATCATGCCCTTAATTTGTGGTTAAACTCTTTAAAACAAAAAGTAATTTACTACATTTCTCCTTTAAAAACACTTTGTTAAAATGGCATTACAGAAGCAGAGCTGCGCTTAGAGTTCAGGCAGAGTAGTAAACTATTCATACTTTTACAAACATAATAAATCTAATATCTATTCGTGGAGTTATCATGTCCCAATTTTTGGTTGAGCTTCGTACTGAAGTTCTTACTATTCTCAGCTAAGGTGACGTAATTATTAGAAGTGTTTAATGAAGCTTAATGTGAATACATGTCCTCATGGAAAAAGATTCTTCTTCCAAAACTGGCAATGGCTGAATCAAGTGTGAAGATTCCAGCTGTTTTATGTAAAGTGCAAAAACGAGTTGGACTTTTCCTGTTAATCCAAGGTGATAAATCTGCATTATATAAGAACAGCAGCCCCACACGTATGACCTAATTATCTTTCCAGGGGCTGAACAGTGAACCTGACATGAAGCCAAGGGGAAGACCACAATTCAGTTACAGTACGCCTCTTGGAGAGGAGCTGCTGAATGTCAAACAGTCCCTGTGCAAAACCAGGCCTCTCAAATTTAGCTTGCACCCCCACCCCTCACCGAGCCCCTGAGAATAACTCCGAGAGGGACAGTCAGTGACAGGAGGGCCTTGTGTCTGGGCTCGATAAAAAGACGTACTTAAAGCAAGATAAATAAGCTCCGTTTAACTTCATGATACCAAGAACTCAATGTTACCCAAGGCTGGTCAGACCCTCAATGTGTGAGCACTGAAAAAAGACTTCAAAGTGGTGGTAAACCAGAAATAGCTGCCATTCCAAGCAAAAAATGCGATTAGTCTTTTTTAAGAGAAACTTGAAATGCCACAAATATTTGTCTTACCCAATACCAACAAGCAGAACAAGTTTTAAGGATAACTGAAAATGGGTAGATCCATTTAAAAAGAGGTTGGAAATATCTTTTGAAAATGGCTGGAAACAGCGAGCGTAGTTAGCCAAGGTTAAAATTAAACCGACCAATCAGCACACATACATTTTGTTAGTTAAATTCATACAAAAGCCAATAGAAAAGTCAGGTTATCCTTTTCTAAGGGGGGATTTTTAGTCAGCACTTTCATGGATATTATAATCGATCCTAATTTAAAGTGAAGTAGGGATGCAACTTCTCCATATAACTGATTAAACTACATATACCGAGTATTTTCAATTCCTAGTTCAGTCTGTGATTGGTCGACCGCTTAGAGATGTCCCGCCCCTTAGCCTATCACGTGTTGCTAGCCAATAGAAGCGTGTGTTACATAGTGATGTCACTGTTATGGAAGTAAACAAAGTCAAATGGAGGTGTTTCAGGCAGGGGGGAGTGTGAGAGAAAGAAACCTTTGAATTTAAGCCTTTGCAGTAAAACCTATATAAAAAACACACTACAGGAAATGTGAAACCCCCTTAAAAGCAGAAATGGCCTCTTTAATGAGCCGTTTTTCCCAAACATCGCGTCATGTGAAAAGTCTTCTGGACTCACCGTCGAAGCTGCCGTGGTCTGTACAGTGCTGGAGCAGTTTGCCGTAGGTCTCCAGAGAAGGACGGAAAACAAACACACCGGAGTTGAAGCAGTCGGGCCAGCCGGGGTCAGGAGCCGCCGACAGCTCCTCTCTGTTGAACAGCTCATCGATATTTGAGAGCACCTAGGATGCAAACAGACAATAAATAGTAGCAGTACAACACCTTGAATTCGTCTCGCTTAAAGGTCACCTATTATACAAAATCCTCTTCTTCATGTCTCTTCTATATCAACATGTGTCCCCTCTTCTTCATGTCTCTTCTACATCAACATGTGTCCCCTCTTCTTCATGTCTCTTCTACATCAACATGTGTCCCCTCTTCTTCATGTCTCTTCTACATCAACATGTGTCCCCTCTTCTTCATGTCTCTTCTACATCAACATGTGTCCCCTCTTCTACATCAACATGTGTCCCCTCTTCTTCATGTCTCTTCTACATCAACATGTGTCCCCTCTTCTTCATGTCTCTTCTACAACAACATGTGTCCCCTCTTCTCCATGTCTCTTCCACATCAACATGTGTCCCCTCTTCTTCATGTCTCTTCTCCATCAACATGTGTCCTCTCTTCTTCATGTCTCTTCTTCATCAACACGTGTCCCCTCTTCTACATCAACATGTGTCCCCTCTTCTTCATGTCTCTTCTTCATCAACACGTGTCCCCTCTTCTACATCAACATGTGTCCCCTCTTCTTCATGTCTCTTCTACATCAACATGTGTCCCCTCTTCTCCATGTCTCTTCTACATCAACATGTGTCCCCTCTTCTTCATGTCTCTTCTACATCAACATGTGTCCCCTCTTCTTCATGTCTCTTCTACATCAACATGTGTCCCCTCTTCTTCATGTCTCTTCTACATCAACATGTGTCCCCTCTTCTTCATGTCTCTTCTACATCAACATGTCTCTTCTACATCAACATGTGTCCCCTCTTCTTCATGTCTCTTCTACATCAACATGTGTCCCCTCTTCTTCATGTCTCTTCTACATCAACATGTGTCCCCTCTTCTCCATGTCTCTTCTACATCAACATGTCTCTTCTACATCAACATGTGTCCCCTCTTCTTCATGTCTCTTCTACATCAACATGTGTCCCCTCTTCTTCATGTCTCTTCTACATCAACATGTGTCCCCTCTTCTTCATGTCTCTTCTTCATCAACATGTGTCCCCTCTGTGGAAAGAGACTCTGAAAGTTTCAGGAACAAAGACTTTCTCTCTTTTTGATTCATTTCTATAAAAACCTGAAAATGAGCTGATCAGATTTTGGCCACTTTATGATGTCATAACGATGTTTTGTCTTGTGTAACCATTAGCCAATCAGCAACCAAGGTACCCCCCCCCCCCCTTATCACCTGAATCTCCTCCTAGAGCACCATTGAGTTCTTTGTAACCAAATGTCTCTCAGAGGGGCGTGGGGAGGGGCTCCTTATTTTCATCTAAAGTAACAGACAGAGAATCAGCACTTTGGAAACAGGGCTGAAACAGAGGGGATTATGGGTAATGCTGCAATGACCTGTTTGGTATTTGGGGTCAAACACTTCAGAGACATGTTTTGTATATATCTGAGACCTAGCCTATATTGATGGTAAACAGTATAATAGGGGACCTTTAAGGAAGGTTCAGTGTGAGCCTCACCAGTGTGTCTGCGTCCATGAACACACACTTGGAGTAGTGTGTGAGGGTCCAGCAGTGCAGTTTGGTCAAGGTGACGCCCAGGTCGGGCCTCTTCATCATGGCCAGGTGTGCCGTGTCTCCGCTGTCCAGAACGTCCACCTCCCTCACCTCGTCATAGATCCTCTTCAGCACCGCCCTGATGATTCACAACACAACAGAATTAATCTCCATCAAAGGTCCAGGTGGGAAACAAGGCACTGCGTGGGATTTAGAGATATTGCACCAATGGCTAGAGGTTAAGTTTCTCACTTGCAAGGCTCTGACATCTGTGGACCGATGAGAGCCACCAGCTTCTTGGATGTGTTGTGGTTGCGGAGGGACTTTCCCAAAACCATGGCTCCACGAGCATAGTTGTCATTGGTAGCCAACGTCACAAAAGCCTGGTCTGCAGAGGCAAGAAGAGGAGGGGGTTATTATCATAAGCAACTGATGGTTATTGAAGTAAAAATAAATGTTAGATTAAATGTTCAAAAAAGGTTTGAAATATAGTTTTGGCTGCATCTTTTGACGGTCATTTAAATATTACAAGATATTCAGATGGTAGAATTCTCTCATCTTAGAAAAGTGGGTCCAGTTTAAGGATTTTCTAACTACTGATGTTTTTGCGCTGTCTTCTTGGGGAATTTGCAAATATTTTTACAAAACCCAACAAACAAGATTCAAAAGGTACAGCATGCAAGTCCCAAATTGAGATATATCGAGATCCAGTTGAGCAAATAGCAATTATTTCACATCTTCAATGTTTGGCCTGAAATTTAAATTCCCAAAAGGTTCACAAGATTAATGACAACTACCATTTCAAGGACTCAAAAACAAGCTTGACATATTCTCCCCTAAATGTGAGATTTCTCACTTCTTGAAAGATTTTTTTTCAGTACAAACAGTCCCAGATTAAAAGTCTCATTCGGTGAATTTTATTTGCAGTGTGTTCCCGACTCAGTGCCTCCACCTCGGCTGGGAGGAAAGAAATGTGTCAGCTACCTGCCAACTCAGAACAATGACTCGCCTGTGAGACGACATATTAAAATCCAATGATGAAATGTGCTCGGCAGCTGGAGAGCTTGTGTGACTTTAGCATGCGAGCCAACATCAATCCCACTTGGATTGTATATCAACCATGGATCAGTTATTGTACTGCCAATAACGGGCAAAGTAAGTAAGACAGTATGTACAGTATACAAATGTTGCTCTGTACACAGCACCACACCCCCTTTCTCTCACACCCCCTTTTCAATTGGCACAACAGGCTGCAGTGTAAATGCCTGTAGCCTGACATGAATCATTAAACAAAAAGCTCAACCATAGCCTATAGGATGAGTGGATGCACACACCCCTCCATTTCCTGCAGTAACGCCACGAATGGGATTTAGGCTACAGAGTACTCAGATCTTCTACTTGAGTTAAAGTAGAAGTAAGGTGTATGAATACTCTGTTATAGTAAAAGTCCTGCATTCAAAATGTTACTAAAGTAAAAGTAGAAAATGATTAGCATCAAAGTATAGTTAAAGTAAAAGTAGTCATTGTGCAGATTGGTCCATTTCAGAATAATATATATGATATGTTTTATAGTGATTGATCATTAAAGTGTTCTCAAAGGTGCAGCTAGTTTGAATGACTGTACACTGCAGGCTAGCTTGTGAATTTACTTTTAGAAACGTACATGTAGTGGAGTAAAAGAACATGATGTAATGGTAGTGGGCTAGAAGTTTACACCACGGGCAGAATCCCGACACAGGAGCACAGGGTTTCCAAAACTGATGTCCAGGGACTGAAATGGATCCAAATAGACCCCGACAACATGAGTTATCTTTACTTGTTGTCATTCATTCAAAGTTAAAGATGCAAGCCAACAGTTTTGTTCGTTTTCAGACACGTTTCATATGACTTTAAAACATGCTACTCTTTTTATCTGACATGACAACACAATTAGTCATTAATAGCTGTCATATCTGATTACATGTTTCATATATGGCCGACAGCTTCACGCCTGGCAGTCAGCTGGTCGCTTTGACACACAGATGGAGACACAATGTACTTTTGCACATTGAAACTCTGCCAACTTCCATGGGCAGCTGCTGCACAAACATTACAACCAAACACACATTTATCGACCGACAGACTTTTCCACAAAGCTACACGCTGATTTTAAACACAACCAAAGTGGGACAGGCTTTGAACAACTTCACAGAAACACGTTTTAGCATCAAGTTAGCTTCACGAAAACACACAGTAGCGGCTCTGAAATGTTTAAATGTTACATACCAGCCATGACGGAGAGGTCGAAGCTACTTTGTAGCCTGGACTCGAGCACACAGCTGCTTAACGTGGAGGAAAAAAGGCAGAGTGAATACACAGAGGTGGATTTATACCAGCATGGAGCAGCGTCATGTGACACACCCACCTGCTCCAAAACAAGCCTGCTCGCCCCCCGGCAGGTCAGGGGGTTCAACTATTCACAGATTCACAAAGTATTCAGACACATGCATCATTTTTTAAGAGTTAAAACACTTTAAATTCTTCTTGAGCACGTGTTGGAAGTGTAAGTAGTGTTTTCAAGTGGAGTAAAAGTGGAAAAAAATCCCCTAAAACTAACCTTTGCTTTTACATAATTAACATTCCTTTCTTTCTGCAGCCTTAACCTTTCAGACAACTGCTCCCTTGCCTGGTGTCATCTTTACTCTCGATGACAATGATGAGATGTTGGTGATGCTGTAACGAGAGGCTGAGATCAGAAACAACATGTTCCATATTTTAGATTTGGTGTTTTGTTGCCATCTTGTGGAGAAAAGGCAGAACAGCAGGACAGCGAGGGGACAAACGGGGGCAGCAGCTCTTTGTGCTGTGTTACACAACAGAGAATTATTTTTAGTGGTCCCAGCAGAGCTCTAAAGTTAATCTGGGATCAAGTGGTGTGCTGGACATGGATGTTATACTAAGAGGAGAATCAAGTATATTATCTGAGTTCAACCGAAGACAATTGAGGTGATTCACATATGGGATGTTCTCTTAAAGAGGCCCTATTATACATGTTGGGGCTTCCCTGTCCTGTAGTGTGTTCTATAGGTTTTAGTGCATGTAAATGGTCTGCAAAGGCTACAATCCCAAAGTTATTTCTTTTTTTTAACTTTCAAACACATTTTATGCAATAGTCTAAGAGGCGGGACATCTCTGAGCAGTTGACCAATCACAACAGAGCCGACCAGCTAACCAATCAGAGCAGACTGGGCTCTGGTTTCAGACAGAGGGTGAGGTATGAGAAAAATAAAGAGCTTTTTGAACACTAAAGCATGGAGACATGTCACAGTAGAGACACTACCGATATTAACTTTAAAATGCAGAATATGTCCTCTTGAACTGCAACACTGATAATATTAATCCTTTCTTTCACAATTGTCATAATGTAACAAAAGCGATGAGTGAAATAACGCCTTCTGCTTCAGAGATGTGTGCCAGTGCAGTTACACTCCCTGCTGATCTTTGGCTCCTTTATTTTCTCCACTCAGGCAAATGCTTGGCAGAGTGGAGACGCTGCCAAGGAGTTTCTCTGTGGGAGTCACGTGCTGTGCTGCTGGACTCAAATCTGACTGAGACCCCATCCCTCCCCCGCCTCCCTCTCTGGATCAGTGCCAGCAGAGCAAGAAGTACCACCAAGGTTCAAGGGGTCTGACACATTGGATCAGACAATGGTTTGGTTTCTTGTGTGCAACATTCTGGATGCTTTGAAATGTTAACACATGGTCTCTTAAGAGGTTTTCTTGGTCCATGAATGAGCAAATTGTAGTTTTTCTTGTCATTAATAGGCTGCAAAGTGTAAGCATTATTTTACACACCATATATAAAATGTTCTGTTTCAAATGCTGAGTCAATCAGACACATTGGATCAGACAATGGTTTGGTTACTTGTGTTACTTGGATGATTTGAAATGTTAACATGTGGTCTCTTAAGAGGTTTTCTTGGTCCATGAATGAGCAAATTGTAGATTGCAAAGCATTATTTTACTCACCATAAATACAATTTCCTCTTTCATCAGACCCTATATAATCATACACACATAAAAAAAAAAGGATTCAGCATGTGGGAATGGATCATTGATTTTATTGTTTGCACTCATCTTGACATTCTGTCAGGCACAGCGAGGAAACATGGCGGGAGGTGGCCGTATCCATGGATACAGGCTGGGGATGGCTGAGAGGTTGCAGGGTTGGGGGCTGCTGCTTGTTGGCAGGGGTCCCGCTCTAATAGAGGTTCTTCTGCACGTAGGCGGCGATGTACTTGACGGCCAGCATGGTCTCCTCGCATGTGGGCTTGATCTGAGACTCGGGCAGCAGGAAGCCGTAACGACCGGTGTCGCGCAACTCGAAGGTGTAGGAATACTTCACTCCCAGGTCGTAGGCCCAGTCGTCAGAGCCGCCGGCAGCGGGGTCTGAGGGCAGACACAGAGAAGGGGATTATTTAGAGGGATGATGATTTAGGATGTGTTTTCAAAATCTTTTTATTTGGTTGTTTGCAGACATGGCACTTTCAGCACATGAAACAAAGCACAGAACAATTTGTCAGCTAAAGGAAAGAAATATCGCCTATCCCCATTAGGTCATGGTCACAGAAACAATTATAATAATACAAATAAATAAAATAATAAATACAATACAATAAATAACTCACATCACAAAGTCACAGGTAGCAGGAATACAATTTGTTTTCAAAGCACTAAATGGGCTGGCTCCGGCCTATATAGCAGAACTCCTCCAGCGCTACACCCCAGCCAGAGCTTTAAGGTCGGCTGACCAGCTGCTGCCCAAGACCAGGCTCAAAAGCCGAGGTCACGAGCCTTCGCAGCAGCTGGCCCCAGGCTCTGGAACACTCTGCCCCTCCATGTGAGGTCGGCCCAGACCCTAGGGGTTTTTAAATCTACTCTAAAGACTCACTTCTTCTCCCTGGCCTTCTAGTCAGAGCGGAGCACGACTCCTGACATTTCCCTGTGTTTGATTTTTATATTTGTAACTTATTGTCTTCTATTTGCTATCGCAGTAAAGTGATTTTTATTGCATGTACAGCACTCTGGCTCGACCAAAAATCGTTTTTAAAATGTGCTATATAAATAAAACTTGATTTGATTTGATACACAGAGTATTGGTCAATATGAAACCGGAATAAATAAAAGTATGGGACTCTCTCTCCGCGTCAGTGTCAGGGTCAGTGAGGTCATTTATAAACAACAGTAAGGGGTTCCAGGTTAGGATGTGTTTTAATACAAATACTGCCAAACATGAAATCCTTTGTTTGCTAGTTTCTCTCACGATTGCCTTAAGAGGCCTCTCACCAGAAAGAGGTTTGTGCATCCTGAAGATGTCATAATGCATATCATTATAGGTGAGAAATAGAATATGTTACTGATACCTAGGGCTGCTCGATTATGGCAAAAATCATAATCTCGATTATTTGGGTCAATAATTGATATCACGATTATTATAAACGATTATCCATTTACTTTGAAAACATCCATTTATTGAAAACACACACACACACACACACACACACACACACACACACACACACACACACACACACACACACACACACACACACACACACACACACACACACACACACACACACACCACACACACTCTTTTCAGTAGGTGACTAGATGAGTAGACCTTTTTTACCTTTTTACCACCCTTTTATTAATTCTACCGTGCTGTGTAATGTTTATTTATACTGTTCATGCTCACTGCTTGTAGCACTTCGGGATTTGAAATCAAATATGAAGTGCTTTATAAATGAAACCCATTATAATTAAACTGAAAAACCAATAAAAAAATCGTTTTATTTCGATTATGTTGTTTTGATAATCGTTGCAAGCCAAAATCGTAATTGCGATTAAAATACGATTAATTGAGCAGCCCTACTGATGCCCTGTTCCCCCATGCAGCTGGCGCGTGTGCAGGACTTACAGATGGTTGTAGCACCAGGTCCGCTGGTGTAGCGCGTCCCGTACAGACTGCGCAGAGCCGCAGAAGCTCCCTCAGCAACCTTCATCTACAACACAGAGAAGGAACAGATGTTTAAAATAGATCATGAGAAGGTTTAAAAGCTTAGATATGAACCTAATATGTTGCGGAATACTTTGATAAAGCTCTGAACTACACTCAGACAGCATCAGATCACATGGAACATATTGAACTCTAATGTTAGCTAACATTAGCCACCACAAGCCTGTTTTTAAATCTCGTTTAAAGACCTACTTGTTCTCCCGTGCTTTTGCAGACCACGTATAAGACGTATCAGTCTGTGTTTCTAAATTGGGGTTTTCTATTTACTATTTTGTTGTGTTTTAAAATGTTTTGACATCATGTATGAGAGTTTTCAGTCTGTGGCTATAAGTATGGTTTTATTGTCTCGTGCTTTTACATTAGTTTCTTTTATCGGTTTTGTCTAAATGTATTTATGCTGCTTTTCTATATATTGCACCAATCACCGGACCTGGGGGGACAGAGCCTTCTCCGTCGCTGCCCCCTCCCTCTGGAACTCACTCCCCCAACCCATCAGAGACGGCACTGACCTCACCACCTTCAAAACACTCACAAAAACTCACCTCTTCAATCTGGCTTTTAATGCGTGATTGTTTTTGTATTATTTGACTTTAACTTTAACTATATATTTATTTGTTATTCCTTCCTTTTCTTTTCTCTTCACTATATCTGTAAAGCGTCTTTGAGCACCTGTAAAAGCGCTAACAAATTAAATCTATTATTATTATATAAATAAAGTCTGATTGGATTGGTTAAGCAGATGCTCCAACATGACCAAGTAAGGTAATAAATTGAGAAAAAGTACGTTTCATATCGTTTCAATTAAAGGTCCGGATTTAAGTGGAATGATAGATCTAATAAAGGACCAAACAACTATTAAAATACAGCTGGTATAAGAACATTACATATATGTTTTTTGCCCTGCAGCATCCACTATCCATGTCTTGATCAAAACACGCTGATATTACAGAAAATAGTAAAAAGCTTCGGTGAGTTTGAACAGGAAATGAAACCCCCAGAGAAATGCCCAGGCAGGAAATGATATCTCTGGAGGAACAGATGAGTTATGACAGATCCCCGGAGTTCCTTTGTTCTGTGAAGTGTCAGAAGACAGCTTTAAATTATGAGCGAGTAATAGAGAGGCAGAGATGTGTGATAGTGTGAGAGCTGGAGCTGGGGTGTGAGTGTTAACTGTGAGAGCTAAAAGAGCCATGAGAACCAGGCATGTGGAGGGGAGGGGGGATTTGCAGCAGCTAAGTGTGGCCTTTAGGTGAGAGTCAGAATGTCACTTATATCCGTGCTTAAAGAGGCCCTATTATGCTTTTTGTAGTGTGTTATATCGGTTTTGGTGCATGCAAAT